TCTAAATGCATGATTTCGGTCCAAACTTCACATAATCATGTATTAACATGGTACAAACATAGAATTACAACATATTGAAGCTCAATTTCATAATTTATTTACATGCATGGCTCATTTTCCACCAACTCATTACCAATGTAACCATTTCATGCATTCAAAGCTTCTACTTCCATGGATTGTACATGCATGTGATGTCTAGCTCCCATTCTCAACTTAGATGATACCAATGGTGATTATACATGAGCTTCAACTACAAATTTACATGGACCTTACCCCTTTGAGCTCAAACATGCAACATTCAAAGCAATTACACACACATTGTGTTCAAATAAGGAAATTCATAACAATTTCCTACATGCATGTGTTCTAAGACTTCAATTTTAACAAAACCAACTCAATTCATGTCCTTTAACATTTTTTTCAACTTTGAACTTACAAATTACAAACAAGGGTCCATGAATTAACTTACCTAAGAGCTTCAACCCTCAAGCTCTAGCCAAATCTTGAGCTAGATCTTCAAATTCCCAAGTCTTGAGCCCAAATTACACAAGTCTCTCCCTTCCTCTCTCTACAACCGGCCCTCTCATCTCTTCTTTGAGTTTAATATCAGTCAAAATGAGGCTAGGGAGGGAGAGGTTGAGTGTTTAAAGCTTGACAACAAAATCCACTAAGGCCAAGATTATAATAATAAAGTAGTTGGGCTCTAATTCATCAATTTAATCGGTTTAATCTAACCCAAATCAATTTTCAATTAAATTTCACCGTAGGTTCTAAAAATTATGCCAATCACAATGGCGTAATCGATTTAGGGTTCTGTGGCCGACAAGGCCCTCAATTTAATTTCCAAAGCAGGTTATTCAAACAAATATTCCTACGATGAACAGATAAGACTTCAAAATCATATATGTTCGCATAATGGCACAGAAAATCATGCTAAACACATAACCATAAACAAATTAAGGACCAATTTAGCATAATACAGAACAGGGGTATCACACCCGGTGTCTTTTTTGTGAAAAATAACAAAATTTTGAGTGAAAAAATTGAAAAGAATTAAAAAAAAAAATGCGAGGCTCACCCAAGCCCGACCCAAGCCTAAGTCTAGGCCCAAGTCCCTTGGCTCGACCCGCAGGGGCACCCAAAGCCTGAATACCTTTGTGCCAAGGCTAGGGCCTAGGCCTAATTTTTTGGCTCGTGGGCCGATCTGGCCCGGCCCGAATTTTGGCAAGCACCCACGAGGCTTTACATGGGTTGGCCCCGACCTGGGCTGGGCCGAGCCCCTACACATTGATGATATGAACATTTACATTGACGGTGTGAACATTTACATTGACAGTGTGAACATTCACATTAGGGGTATTTTGGTAATTACGTCACCCGTAGGATGTGAACATTCACATTAGGGGTATTTTGGTAATTATGTCACCCATAGGACTTATTGAAACATAAGAAAATAATGTGAACTAAATGGAACATAAGTAGATGAAAAAGGTATTTTGGTCTTATTACCTCAAATAGGAACATTCACATTGACGGTGTGAAATACATTGACAGCGTGAACATTCACATTGACGATGTAAACATTCACATTAGGGGTATTTTGGTAATTATGTCACCCATAGGATGTAAACATTCACATTAGTGGTATTTTGGTAATTATGTTACCCATAGGACTTATTGAAACATAAGAAAATAATATGGACTAAATGGAACATAAGCAGATGAAAAGAGTATTTTGGTATTCTTACCTCAAATAGGAACATTCACATTGATGGTGTGAACATTCACATTAGGGGTATTTTGGTATTTATGTCACCCATAGGACTTGTTGAAACATAAGAAAATAATGTGAACTAAATGGAATATAAGTAGATGAAAAGGGTATTTTGGTCTTCTTACCTCAAATAGGAACATTTACATTGACGGTGTGAACATTTACATTGACGGTGTGAACATTCACATTGATGATGTGAACATTCACATTAAGGGTATTTTGGTAATTATGTTACTCATAGGATGTGAACATTCACATTAGGGGTATTTTGGTAATTATGTCATCCACAGGACTTATTGAAACATAAGAAAATAATGTGGACTAAATGGAACATAAATAGATGAAAATGGTATTTTGGTCTTCTTACCTCAAATAGGACCTAATGGAATAGTCAAAAAGAATACAACAATGATAGAGACCACTAATTTTGGAGCTCTAAAAAGACCACTAATGACATGGCACTCAATAAAAAAAGGAAAAAAATACAACACCAAGGCTAATACATCAAATCATTCATGGTGGGACCCACTGCCACATCATTAGTGATAGCACTAATTAGTGCTCTCACTCATTTTTCCAAAAAAATATGGTTGGATGGATAACTCAATTGCTCTAGATAAATGAGACTTTATCAAAAAGCTCTCTTTTTTTTTCTTTATGCTTCTAATTTTTTTTTCAAATCTTCTAACCATTGTAACCAAACACAGCCTTAAAATAGCCAAGTTACGGCAGCTGTTTGTAACGTTTATGTTTTTTGGTTTATTTTTACTAAAAATTCTTATTATAACTGGATTCTGTTCTTATTCTTAGAAAAACATAAATTACAAACGCGTTTGATTTGAACAAAATGTTTTAAAAACATAAACTAAAAAATATGTTTGTTCAGGCCTAAAATATTTATATTCATTTATATTATTTATGACAATGAAATCACACACATCATAATTGAAAAAAAAAAATTTAAAAATTAAAAAAAAATTAATTAAAAAAAGAAATTATTTGAAAAAAAATAATTGAAAAAAAATTATTTGAAAAAAAAATTATTTAAAAATAAAAACTGAAAACCTAAACTCATTTTTTGAGTTTATGTTTTTTTCTCAAATTTATAAATTGAGACAATCGTTTATAAACTAAAAAAATTATCAAATAATTTTTTATAATAATTTTTTATACTTTTATAAATATAAATTGAAAATTAAAAACGGTTATCAAACAGAACCTACCAGTTTACGAAACATTTTATTGTTGGAAATGGTGCAAATTCTTGGTATGACGTGGAAGAATCTTACACTTGTGTAACGTGTTTTGTGCTCTTCCCAGTCGACATACACAGCGAGAGAGAGAGAGAGAGTCTCAGATTAAGGGTGTGGCTGAGATTGAGAAACCATATTGCATTATCACCAGCTAGAAGAATCATATACAGAGATTCAAATGGATATTCGATTCCGATTCGGAAGCTTTTTAACATCTCGCAATTTATGGTCTACTTCATCAAGGATTCAAAAGCCTCTCATCAAACCCTGTTGTTCTTCAAGGAGGGACTCCCAACAAAACGACGACGACGACGACAACAACAACAACAGAGGTGGGTCTTCTTCACCCTCATCAATTTTGCAATCTAGTCATTTTTTTATATTTTTAAGTCACTTTATTCTATTTCTTCTGAAAATTCGAACTGTTTGTCTGAATTTCTTTGAATGTCCTCCTTCAGAGACTACTATGCCCTCCAAATTGATGATTTCTAATGCTAATAATGATGAAAAATATGATTGTTTCTTTATTTAATATGGATTCAATATGGTTGGATGGAGTTCAATTGTAGCTTCTTTTTTCCATTAAAATTGAATTTGACAAATGATTGAAGGTGCCCTAAGTGGTGGGGCGGACCTAGAATTGTTGAATTTGATACAAATCTCGTATAATGTGGGGCTTTTTTCAGAATTTTAGGGCACCCTTCCCTCCGCCCCTGGCCCTTAGGGCATACAAAAGGCACGCTTACACTATGTCCACACCCTTTTATGGCCTTATCTAACAAGTATAATGAGAACACATTGTAATAAATCAATACCAGATATGCCCTCTCACTGACTATTTATACTAGAAGGCTGTGCATGCATGATGCATATTATTATTATTACATATAGCTCATAGAAAAAAGGATGATAAGTGCAAGGAGAAGATTGTAACTCCTTTTATCTACTCTCTTCTCTCTTTTTTTTTTCTTTTTTCTTTGTAACGTTTGCATAACCCTTATCATTTTTAATTTAAAGCCGTAGAGTATTTTGACGCATGACTTAGTTTTAGTGGTAGGAATAATTGGTATTTCACAAGGTAATATGTGACACCAAAACTATTGCATTAACTGAGCAAAATTTGTACTTAGAAAAACAGTTGTATCAATCGAGGGGTCCTTTCCTCTCTAAATTAATGTGAACAAGATACATGAATGTTTGTCTAAATATAAAAAGCAGAATAAAGTCTCTCTCTCTCTCTCTCTCTCTCTCTCTCTGATCAATAACAAAAGACTTTATTGATAAATCAAAAAAGAAAGCGAGGATGAGGCATCCTCTTACAAAAGGAAAATGAGAATACAAAGAACAAAACCCTAAACAAGATTATCGCAAGCAAAAGCCTACATATCACATACCGCCAACCAATTTCTAACTAACAAAAAAAGTGGAACCCTCTTAAATAAAGAATTTCCCGAAACCCAAAAAGAAGTTAAGTGGCAAAATTTATCCCACAGATAGTCTAATTTCCAGAACTTATCTTCCGACAATGTTGTATTTCTTTCCAACCATAGAACCCAAAATATTGCAAAGACGGTACAAGACCAGAGCATTTTGGCTCTGTTTGATCCTTTGAATGTGCAAAAATCAGCTAGGAGCATATGCCCACTCCCTTTTGGTGCCACCCACATAACATTCCCCTAAAGAAACAATCTATGCCATAAATTCAAAGCAGTTGGGCAATGCAGAAATAAATGATCCACGGATTTCCCATTCTTACAACACAGAATGCACCACTGAGGATTTAGAAAGCGATTAGGTCTCCGTTTTTGCAGTGTATCATTTGTCAAAATGCCTCCATGAACCAAGGCCCACATGAACACCTTGACCTTTGGAGGAGCACGAGCCCTCCAAATTCTCTCTCTCTCTCTCTCTCTCTCTCTCTCTCTCTCGTTCTTCTTTTTGTCGCTTCCAATGTCTTTCTTTCTCCTTTGATTCTCATCTGTTGTTTCCTTTTCTACTTGGATTAGGATCACTTTCATGTGCTTGCACTTGCTTCCGGTAGTATAGACTAGAAGTGGTGCATGTGTGCATGATCATAACTCATGTTGACAAAGATGGAAACGGAAGAGAAAGAGAGTTGGGGAGGGAGGGTGAGGAATTATGAAAGAAACAAATGAAAGCACTAAGAAGTTGAGAAAGTGGTTGATGATGTGACGCTCAGCCCTTTTGTCTTTTATGTGAAGATAATTGATGTGGGTAGCGATGATGTGGTAACTTTTGAATTATTTTGATTTACAATTTAACCTTTTTGTGTGAAAAAGTTGTTAGGAATAACAAAAAGCTTGTTTTGTAACTGCCTCCCAAAAGGTAGGAGGGTGGGTTGGTTCAAAATGCCTTTTAATTCTCCTTTTCATCTCTTTTTTTCTCCCAGTAGCAATGTGGTTGATCTTTTTCTTTTAGTCATTCAAGAACAAGTTAATTGATTACTAAACGTCCATTTAATTACCCTAACAAGTTTTTATTTATATCAAACTGATAATCAAAACAATAACTATTGTTAGTACCCCATGTTGTCCGGACTCGTCAGATTTGGCGAAGTACTCGTGTTGACACGACACAACACAACACAACACGGGTACGGGATACGGCATGGAGAAAATGGATATGGCAAATAAAGAAGAAAGATGGCATATATGGCTGAAACTCAAAGATGGAGAGAGAGAGAGAGAGAGAGGCATGTTGAGTCGCGAAGCAAGATCGAAGGGTAAACCGTAGTCGCGAACTAGACTGAATTGAAGATCTGAAAACCAACATCGCGAAGTTGATTCCACCCAGAAAATGACTCTAGGGCTTCGATTTCCCTTTGTTCTGTGTGTGTGTGTGTGTCTCTCTCTCTCTTCTTCTTTGACTTTGTCTTCTCTTCCTCTTTGTTCTCTTTCTCTGCATTCTATTTATAAATGATACTAATATAATAATATATAATAGTATTCATATTATATAATATTATTCACTCAAAAAAATGTTGTATAATATAATATATATAAATAATATAATTTTTATGTCTAAAATAAAAAAAAATTATTTTATTATATATAATATAATTTGCCTAAAATAATTTTTATTTGTTATTTTTTTTTAACAAAATTTGTTATTCCTTAACTTTTTTTAACTCATCTTCATATAATAAATATATTTAAAAAAATTATTATTTAATGTATCCCCATACCCATATCCAAATTTGGATGCATTTTCACATATCCTCAATTTTTAATTTTGAAGTGTCTGATCCCTAGATATGCACCCGCACCCGATACCCACACCTGAGTCTGTGTAACGTAGTTAGTACCCAAAAACCTCAATGCATTCACCCTAAAATTATTGAAAGTTAATTTGAATAATTGAATTTATTTAAACTTTTTGGTTACTTCTATCTTCTGAACCTGGTGTTTGAGTACTATGCTTCAGCCGAGGTTATCCTGCATGCGATATTTATTCTAGTCCTGTCTCTGTGATAAATGAAGCGGATACCAGTTTAACCGCTGCCAATATTGTTGCATGAAAAACCATGTTAAAGTGGACTAGGTTTATCTGTGGAGTTTCCAATAAGCCATTAGGTAATTTTGTTGAGTGACTTCCTGGCAATCTGCATAAAATTTGGTGTCATTTTCAAACTTGGAAATCTGATTTCTGCGTTGTTGCCACACATTGCCATCCAAAAGGAAAAAGAATCCTTTCGTGTGATCTTTGTATAATGTCAGTTGTAATTAATGGTCTAGACAGCTGGGGTAGTCTTTGCAGTAGCACCCATTTCTTCTACAATTACCCAGATACTCTACTGGATAAGCTTTCTAACTCTATCAAAAATAGAAAATTTTTATTTAACAATCTTCACTTATCAAATCAATAGATGTTGGATTTATAATTGAAGTGCATCTGAAACAAAATGTGGTGCTATTTTTACAGTTTAGACAATATGCTCAGTTAAGTTCATCAATATGTCAGGCAAACTGAAAAAAAATAAAAGAACAAAAAAATCCAGACAAGGTCAAGGAAGGATCTGTTTTATTGATAGGAAAGAACAGATACTGCATCTCTGTATTGGCAAAAAGCTTCTGCTTAAATCCTAAAGCTATTTTGGAGTGTCCAGTTTGAAATGAAGGCCATTTCTGAGATAGTGAAACATCAGGGATATCATAAAAAGATGTCTACTTTCATCGTTAATATTAGAAGATTATTTTCTGGTCTTTTTTTAAACAAAGTGCACTATCTTCATGAGGTGAACATCTTTAATTGGGGATTTGCAGTTGTTTCTGTCTCATATTATTTGGGGCGAGCAACCGGGAGCGAATTCTGATTTATTGTTCTATGTTAGTTTTTGGAGTTTGAGTTTGCTTTTTTGGGTGCCTACAATATCAAAAAAGCGAGTTGGGCATGTGATATCTTATGATGACAAATTAAGGAACCGACTTCTACATCCCTACTGTGACTGGAGAATGCATTTGTGAAAAAGCATGCCTTGGCTAGCGCCTGCAGGCTGGAGCTTCGGTGAGGTGCTATTTAGGACGAACCAGCTGATATTGCTAGTTATGAGAAACTAAACAAGCCCAAATTTTTGCCTCTAACAACAGAAACTGTAAAGAAATTCCACCACACACACACACACACACTGCATCATGCAATGGACAGATATGTATTGAGTAGACAGGTATCAGAACTATAATGTTCATACTTTATTTCCAAATCCACCGAAGCAAAGCCTATGACTGGAAATGATGGTTAACATTACAAATTATTGGATGTGTGAATTCTGTTTGGTTCAGCCAACCATTACAGGAGTTCTCCGAATTTGCTTGACTTGCAAGTATGCAGCTAATCAGCCTACATACAAAACCTTTTCATTTGTTCAAATTATTATATTTGTGCATCCTGTTTGATTCAGTCGTCCCCAACATGAGTTATCAGAATTCACTTTCTTTGCATGTTCAGTGGTTAAATTTAAGTACAGAAAACCTTTGACATTTGTTCTTTACAGGTTGAAAATTTGGACACCATTTATTGTTTGAGAACAAAAGCAAATGATGATTTATACACGTATAGTCATCATTCCAAGTAGCCGCTTACTTGCTTTTAACACATTCACACTATTCTTACACCTCTGTCCAGAAGAAAGATAACTCTGAACTTCGTTTTTGTGTGTGCCTATTAGCAGGTGATAAGTTCTCAACAGATTGGGACAAGGCCTGGTCAAGCTACAGGAAGCAAGGGAAAAAAACTATATTTTCAGACTTTTCCCCAAACAAGTATGTCACCTGGAATCCTACGCGTTCCAACTACCCATTGTCTGAGGAGGTTGATCCCATCAAAAGAACAGAGAGGTCAAACCTCATGTTATGGACCAGCCCTAGTTTCACTCTGGCAGGGGCCATCATAATAGTCACATTTCTTTTGCTCTACACCATTCTTGCCCCAATTAAGTGAATTCATTTAATTCCATCGTAGGACCCGTGGGCCTATGCTGTAAAGATTTGATATTTTTTCTAAGGAAACAGTAAAAGAGGGCTTTTGTAAGTTGTGTTGTAGCCACTACATCTGTAAGTAAAATACACTTAATCTACTAGTCTTCCTTCAACCAATTGTATTCTTCTTGAAGTTATACTGTTTCCTTTTATGGCATGTCAATATCGTGAGATTGCTTGAGAAACTTGTTGGTTTGTGATATTTTTATGAAATTACGTTGGAAATATGTGATGCATAACATATCCTATTGATTGTTTTTAGAACTCAAAATTTGCACGCTGTTGTCTGGGGAAAGAAATTTGAGGATTTCATTCAGACTACATGGGAGATTTATTCTCGAATTTAGGAGGGATATGAACAGAATGTAACTGTCTTTGCTGTTTCTTATTTCTTTCCCAGAGAAGGGACCTCTTCCATCATTGTAGTGGGATTACCAGTTTCTTTTGTGTGATTTTTTGATATATTGAGAGAACATTAGTTGGCACAGTTGAAACCTTTGATTATTTTTCAATTTCACGATATTTTTAAACCATGTTTTAGGATTAGTTAGAGTCACACAATGTTTTTTCATGATTTTCGCACATGATGTGTGGAACATAATGCGTAATTGAGTAGGGATGGTTACAATATCTATTTTTCAACGTTTTTGGGCATGATTGTGATGTTTTTAGGGCCCTCAGGATTCTGGACTTTTATTTTTTATGTCAGGTATTATACTTTCATGAAAACTTGGTGATATATATCATGAAAGTGACGACCATCATCATTCCATCACCGCAAGCATCACCATCAATACATCACTGTTGCTACCACCAACCCTGTACCTCCACTACACCACCCCTCCACCATCACCACCACCACCACTATCCCTCCACCACCATCACCACCACTGTTATTGTCACCGCCATCATTCCACCACTACAATCACTACCATCACTTCAACACCGCCACCACCCTCCCTCTACCTCCACTACACCACCTCTCCACCATCACTACAAACACTATCGCTTCACCACCATCACCATCACCATTGGCGTCATGGCCACCATCGCCTCTGCCACCATCGCTATAAAAATTGGAAAAGAAAATTCTTGCATATATCAAACAACTTGTTTTAGTTTAGAATTAAATTTTCGTCTTTTAATTTATCAATTTAAAAAATTCAGCATTCAGATTTCAGTACTTAATTTTTAGCTTTATCCAATACCACCCAAGTCTATTTTGTTTTCCAAGTACTTGAGTCTTGCATGATATTTGTTGGTTCGAAAGACAAAAATAGAAATAGCATGGTTAAAATAGATTTTCCCGTGTGAGTCTTATGCACTAGGTTGCCTTTTATTTTTATTTTTATGCAGATTAGGACTTATCTTTTGCTTTCCTGATATATTTTGTCTACATTCAACTGGCTGGAAAATTTAGTTCTTAGGCTCTATTTTGCTCCCTTTTCCCTGATCAAGCTGTTTGTACAATTTACTTCTTGTTGCCCTAGTAACAATCACCAGAAACAACTCTTCTTGTGCTCACATCTTCTTCTACTTGGCTTTACTTTATAAGCATATTGAAAGGTCGGCTTTAGATCTTTTTGTTTCCACTAGTTGTGTTCCCTTCCCTTTCACCACAAGACACCAGTTTGGCTTGTCTGTTCTTCTGTCCTCCTCTCCGTTCCTATCCGAGCTTTCTGTCCTTTTCATTAGGAACACTGTATATATCCTTTTAGGATAGAAAACTCAGAAATTTGAAATGATAAAACTTATAGAAAACTTGTTTGATCAATTGTTTCCGAAAAGTAGTTTTCAAAAAAAAGAAAAAAAAAATTTATGTTCCCAATGCACTTCCAATTGAACGATGTGAAGGGAAACATGAAACATGGGAAACTCAAGGAACGAGTGTATTGGGGACACAGCCAAATTTTGGGAACAGAAAATTTTGTCCTCTTCGAATGTGTCTTAATTTGTCTTTCAAAAACATGGTTGTTGCAGGATTTTTTTATTTTTATTTTTATTTTTTTTTGGGTTTAATGAAGCTATTGACACTTTGAGTAGATAATTTCTATGCAAGCATGATCTGCACTATTGACTTTGAAATTCCCTACAAATAAGTTGTTCTCTTATAAAATTTTAGAGTTGTAGGATTGAAGCGCCTGAACAAAACAAGCATCACCAATATCTTATCTTATATATTAAATATGTAGAAGAAGTTAAATACAAAAAAAAAGTTGGAAATTTTAAAGCCATTGTTTCTTGTTGCATGTCTATTTTTCTCAGCTACCAACCAGTCTTACATGTATCAAAAGTGTGAAACCTCGTGAAGATAGTAACTATATATATATATATGCTCACTCACTCCAAAACCTAAATCTCTTTATCATTCTTATCCGACATCTGGATTTGTTTTCTCCTCCATCTGCTCTTGTCATGTCTCTCAACAGGACTTTCTGTTTGGTGGCAATGACCATGGTGAGTGTATTTGTCAATTCTCAGAAGGCACATAAGGTAAGGCTTCCCCCGAAGAGAGGCCTTGTGAAAGTTCGGATCTCTCGCTGTTTTGTGCAGATGACAAGAAGAATCATTTCAAAGGCTATGGCACTGGGAAGAAAGAGGAGGAATGGACAGAAAGTGATGGCATTGTGGTGTGTTGTTGAGATGAGGAGAAAGCATAGATTGATTCTCTAGCATGAGTGACTTTGCAGTTTGAAATCAACCTTGTTTATGATCTTTGCTGTTGCATTGCATATAAAGTTGCAACAAGTCTATGAATACAGGAACTAAATACGGAATGGGACAAAGAAAAGGCCCATGTAAGAGTGGTGACCATTGTCCGATTATGTGTTCAGTTGCTGTGTTTTTCGCATTACTGATAAAGTTAAGAAAAGACACACGTAAGAGTGGCGAGCATGTATCCGTTATAATATGAACTATTTTATAAGCAATGTCAGGACCCTAAAAAAATTACTAAAAATTCTATAAAATATTCACATGGGTGTGAGACCTATACCATACGAGACTTACACTCATGTGATTGTATATAATTTTTGATAATTTTTTTGGAATTTCTAGTATTTTTGACTATTTTACAGTATCTCACTCTCTAGTGTGTACGCATGCACTTATAGTTAGAAGCAAGGCTTGCAGTTTCAATATCAAGGTTCTCCAAGCCACAAAAAATAGCTCAATGATTAAAGGAGAAGAACACTGGGGCAAGCAGTAAACTTGGATGTCTTAAATTCAATTCTCAATGGTTTCTCCATGGTTTAATCGATACTTGTATTTTGTGGGTGATTACAAAGTTTACACTTTGTTATCACTATTTGCTTGAAAAAAAACCCATACGCAAGAACTCCAGTTGGGATGGTTAGATGGGGGACTCTTCGATGCCTAAGCCAGTAAGCAAATTCTAAACACCAAAAGAGTAATAATTTGAGTATGAGTGATTATGTGTCTTACTTGATGTGTTTCGTTCATTTATATCGGAATTTACCTGTCCGTTGTTACTTGTAAGCAATTGAGAAATCCTTGCTACTTACCCCTATTGCTTCAATTGACCTAGTCCCCCATTTTCTCAACAAAAAATAAAAAAAAATAAAAATAAAAATTCCCCCATTTACTCGTATTGGCTTGTCCGACCAATTGTATAACTTGGCACCCGAACTGACTAATTGTCCTACTCGGTTTCCAAATTGAGCCTAGCTCAACCAACTAATCTCTTCTCTGTCTCTAGTTTGGCCTCCCCATCATAGTCTTCTCTGTCGCTAAACACAAGTGAAACTTGCATCAAACTATATTTGCATCAACGAAGGTTGTGAGTTTTGAAATTGTGATGGTTAGTTATCAGGTGAAATTGATTGTTGAGTGAGGTGAGGAATGTCAGGAGTGACAGGAGAGTGACATTAATGATTGCCATGGCAATGCAATGAGAAATGGTGGGAACTACGAAGCAGGGTGACAAAAAAAAGGCATGGCAATGGTAAGTGTTTGGTGATCGAGTTGCAAAGTGAGGAAAGAGAACAGAACAAAAAAATGAAAGAGGGTAATTTTGTTTAAAGACATTTTTCAACCAAAAATTTCACCTTATTGCAATTACTTTGAATATTTCATTGTTTTTGTAATTTTAAGAAACATACACTTATTATTTGCAAAATGTTTTATATTCCCTCCTTTTATTTGCAATTTTTCCTTTCAACGGAAAATATTTTTTTTTTATTTTATTTAAATTTTTTTTTTTGTATTTCAATAAAAAATAAAAGTTAATAAAAAATGTTAGAAAAATTACAAAAGAAATCCAAAGTTTCACGTGTTTTGCAATTAAAACCTTGGAGTTTCTTTTGTATCATAATGTAAATCCTCCATCCATCTCCGTTTCATGAAGTAATAGAGAAAGGCATTTTTGTCACCATGACCAACGCAAACCGACACCGTTTGTCATTTGCCCCATATAAAAGGTCCCAAATCTTTGATTTCGTCGATTAGGGCAACAAGATTATTGCGATTTTGAAGAAAATCTGGAGCAGGATTTGAAGTATTGTGCATACTGCTATTTGGAATGTTGGTAAGTGTTTTATACAAATTTTTTTGGTTATTTGTTCTTGTAATTTGTGTATGAAGTGTTGTTTATTCTTTTTTTTTTTTGATTCTGTGAATAAAGTAATAGCAAAATATATGTGTGTTTATTACTTTATTGCATGGGTATATGTGTGTTTGTAGCTTACTTTATTTTTTTTTTTATACGAATTTTTTTTATTTCCATTGATGGACCACTGCATTGACTGAGTGGTTGGTCCCATGCCACTTGTTGATTCTACTGGTTTGTAATGCTTTTTTGTCTTCAAGGTGGTCCTTTTGTTGCATGTGGTCCCATGTATTATTTATGTTATATTTGTTTGTTTGTGAGTGCAGCAATGGATGACATAAATATGAAATTGGTTTTACATCATAGTGGGTACTTTATTGATAGTGATGGTACTCCTAGGAGTTACTTTGGGAGTTACTTTGCTGGTGGACAACAGCAATAGCCACCACAAAGAAGGGCAGTATCAACTAGTGGACAGCAACAACAACCACCACAAAGGAGACTTACAACAAGATCAACTAGTGGAATGCAACAACAACCAAAGAAGGCATCAACAAAGAGGACATCAACACCAATAACAACCATGAAAAGAGATGAAGTTCAAGGAGCCGTCAAGCTAGTGTTAATAAAGACATGGTCAACTAAATGTTGTGGATGATGGGATTATGAATTGCTTTTTTTTGTAATGGCTATGTTACCTGAACCATTTATGTTTTTTTTAACTTTGTGAATGATGGGATTATAACAACAACAACTGCTTTTTTCTATTGCTTTTTTTGTAATGGGATTCAAGACAAAATTATGTATTTGGAACAATTTACTTGGCATAAATGGTTTTGACATGTTGGATGATTGTTGTAAATGCTTAGTTTGTAATGGGATTGACAAATTACTAGTTTTTTTATGCTTGGTTTGTGGTGTATATTGGTTTGGAACAGGCTCATGCTTGGCTTGTTTTGTTCTCAATTGCTCATGCTTGGTGTATATTGGATTGGTTTGTGCTGTATATTAGTTTGGAACAAGTTACTAGTTTTTCATGCTTGCCTTGTTTTGTAATTTGCTTAGTTTGTGCATCACCATAAGCAAACGCCCATTCTCAATGTTCAATCATTATTCACTTTGACATTTTGTCAAACACATCCAAGACATTGGCAAAACAAAATAAACAAACAAACATAACCATATGAAAAAATCCTTCTCATTGTTGACCTGGTCATTTTGTCAAACACATGGAAGGCATTGGCAAAACAAAACAAACAAATAAACATCAACATTGTTCAATTTCCCTTCACCTGAACATTTTGTCAAACACATCTAGAACATTGGCAAAACAAATGCATAAACTTCATTAGAAAATCTAAACAAACAAACAAACATTACACAATCCAAAAACACATAAAAACAAGATAGGAAATTCTCATTTCATTCAAAATTATACATTAAGTTCAAATTGACAAGTGCATAGTTGCCATTACATTCGCCAAACCATAATTGCTAACTAGCTAACTAACAAACCTATATTTCCTAACTACTAACTACTAACATTCTAATTACAATCACTGCAACAATCAATCCAGCTACAATCCCTTTCTGTCTACCATGATAAATTTGAATAACCTCCAATCTTGTAATCTCAATTACCATTTGCTCCAAGGTTACAACCTTGTCCACCAACTTTGGTAAGGCTCGTCAACCCTAAGGACAAGTGGGTGGATCATACCAAGAGAAAAAGCCACAAGCCCCAATTTTCTGAACAATAAAAATAAATTAGTAAATAAATTAAAAAATACTAATCAAAGCCAGGTTTTAGGAAACAAAAATATAAACAAATTTTATAATATTAACGGGAGCGGAAAACTTACTCTATAATTTGGACAACCAAGAAACCTCCTAGCTGGGTTCACATGGGTTCATGAAGTTTAGATCAACAACTGCAACGAATCGATTCACCCCAGTTGTTTCCACCCCAGCTGCTCTTTCACTCATATTTCACAATCGCTGAAAATGAAGTTTCGTTCCCTTCTGGGTACGTCATTCTTGTTGCCCTAATTGACGAAATTGAAGAATTTGGGACAAAGTTTAGCCCTAATCAACGAAATCAAAGATTTGGGGCCTTTTATATAGGGCAAATGACAAACAATGTCATTTTGGGTTGGTTATGGCGTCAAAAATGACTTTCTTCGTTACTTCATAAAACAGAGATGGACAAGGGATTTACATCGTGACACAGAAGAAACTCTAAGGTTTTAATTATCAAAATCAAAACCTTGAGATTTAAATTGCAAAACACGTAAAACTTTGAGAATTTTTTTTTTTAATTCGTTCAAAATATTTGTCATGGCCAATAAAAAATCAATCTATTTAGACAAAAAATATTTTTTTTTACTTTTAAGATAAAATTTTTATCAATGACACTAGATTATCTCCACTAATCTCACCTCAATTACCAAACCATCGTCACCACAACTACCTTCACTATCACGGTAGCCACCACCCGTTGCCACCTCTAACTCTACTTTCGTCCCACCACCACCATAACCAAACATTAAAATAAATATTTTTATTAAGAATATTTTCTATTGAGACAAACGGAATTTTATTATTTTACATTTTCCTCTTTTCTCTCTTCAATTAACGGACCGAAAACGCTGTCGTTTTATCACAACACTCTCCCTCTTACCAACCAAGCCCTAATGCACACATCAACTCTCCCAATCATCTCCATTTCCCGCCACACACACTCTCTCTCTCTATACAATGGCAGCAGACAAGAAGAAGAAGAAGCGCCGCCGTGAAGACTCCAGCTCCGACTCCGACTCCGACTCCGACGGCGACACCAAAACCCGCCCCTTCAAGAAGCGCCTCAACCCCGACTCCCTCATCCTCTCCACCCTCAAAACCCTAGTCGCCAACCAAAACACCTCCTCCTCCAAAACCCTAACCCTAGCCGACCTCTCTCTCTCCTCCACCTGCCGCGAAGTCTCCGACCTCCCTCTCTCCTCCGTCCAATCCGCCATCGAATCTCTCATCCTCTCTCTCTCCCACTCCATCCTCTCCGGCCACGGCTTCTCCTTCTCCGTACCTTCTCGCTCCGCCGCCAACCAACTCTACGTCCCCGAACTCGATCGCATCGTCCTGAAAGACAAATCCTCTCTCCGCCCCTACTCCTCCGTCTCCACCGTCCGCAAAACCACCATCACCACCCGCATTCTCCAGCTCATCCACCAGCTCTCCACCAAGAGCATCCACGTCACCAAGCGTGATCTCTTCTACACCGATGTCAAGCTCTTCCAGGACCAAACCCAATCGGATGCTGTCCTTGACGATGTTTCGTGTATCCTTGGGTGCACTAGGTCTAGCCTCAATGTCATTGCAGCTGAAAAAGGAGTTGTGGTGGGTCGGCTTTTGTTTAGCGACAATGGCGATATGATCGATTGCACCAAAATGGGAATGGGTGGGAAAGCGATTCCTCCCAATATTGATCGTGTTGGGGATATGCAGAGTGATGCATTGTTCATTTTGTTAGTGGAGAAGGATGCTGCTTATATGAGGTTAGCTGAGGATCGGTTTTATAATCGGTTTCCGTGTATAATTGTGACAGCGAAGGGGCAGCCCGATGTTGCGACAAGGTTGTTTTTGAGGAAAATGAAGATGGAATTGAAGTTGCCGGTTTTGGCTCTTGTTGATAGTGATCCTTATGGGTTGAAGATATTGTCAGTTTATGGGTGTGGATCGAAGAACATGTCGTATGACAGTGCTAATTTGACGACACCGGATATAAAGTGGTTGGGGGTTAGGCCGAGTGATTTGGATAAGTATAAGATACCAGAGCAGTGTAGGTTGCCGATGACAGAGCAGGATATTAAGACTGGGAAGGATATGTTGGAGGAGGATTTTGTGAAGAAGAATCCCGGGTGGGTTGAGGAGTTGAGTTTGATGGTGAAGACAAAGCAGAAGGCGGAAATACAAGCGCTGAGCTCATTCGGGTTTCAGTACTTGTCTGAGGTTTACTTGCCGCTAAAGCTGCAGCAGAAGGATTGGCTCTGAAGATTGGGGAATGAAAGTTGGGTGAGTTTGGTTATGGTAATTTCTGCACTTCTTGTTTCTCTGTTGAGGGTTGAGAAATTGGTTCAGTAGTGCCAAAGCTTTTATATGTATGTTTGGATTTCAATGTTGCAATAACAATTGTATTTCACTACAGTCAATATAGTTTATGCTTCATTGAAGTAGTGATTCTGCTGTATGTTTGGATTTCAATGTTTGCCATGGAAGTTTTCTTTGTTGAAAATGAAAATAGAAAACAAAAACAAACACAACCCGGGAGTTCATATGCCAATTGAATCAATTAGGGGCAAAATAACAGAAAGAAGAGAAAGGAACAAATGGCAAGAGTGTTTCTCGATTTTACAAAATTTCAATCTACATGTGATATTATTACAACTTGCATTTCTCAATATGGTACATGGTGTCCGCGGCCATTATGTTGTGTTTTGGGGAACAATAATAATGAAAAGAATGACAAAGCTAACAAGTGCATTATACACAAAATTTGGAGTTGCTAAATATTAATAATATCACCTTCTAATGATTACTTACTCGTCTTTGTAACCAATAACGCAATGATTTCCTTGTAACCTTCAACCTATGCAAAATTGCAGGTCTTCGGGCAGAAGGTTTCAACTTTGTTGGGAACCTATTACTTCCTAGAATTTCTTCCTCATTTGCATATGAAACAAGAGAGGTACTCGGATTGACTTTTTCAGATCCGGCCAAAGTGACCTCGAGCCCCAATTCATCCTGCAGAAGTTTGGTTATAGCATCTTCTACCTCTGATTTGGCTTTGGCAGAGTTTGTACTTGTTTTTTTGACTTGTAAGATGATGAACAAGTCATCTTTTAGTGGACATCCTATAAGCACAAAACAGTCAAATGTCACAATGCTGAGTAGATTGTACACAAAATATGTGCTTCACAATGTGTCAAAACTAATTGTAAAACATCCGACAAATCAAAATGAGCATTCACACCTTGGGCATTGTTTTCTTTGATCATTCTCAGAACCGCAAGAACAACAATTCGAGCTTCAACCTATCAAAGCACATATTACGGAATATTTTACATATAGAGTCGCAATAAATATGTGAATAATGAAAATTGTCTTTGGTATGGAGAAGATTGGGTGATTCGGGGTGGTCTTTTAAGAGAACAACTATCTAATGCAGATGAAAGCAAATGTTTCCCATGATTAAGTCAACAACTGTGTGTAATGCATGATTGCCAAAGATATCAAACATAACATTGCCAAAAAGGATTCTACGTTCTATTCGCTATGTTAATTGTACCTTTGTGAGACCTTGTAGATCAATTGCCATGCTTTCAGTGTTTCTCTTTTGCAAGTGAACCGCAACTTTCTCAAGAAGCAAGCTGTGAGGTCCCCCTAAGTCAGCCTCGTTGCAAGAACTGAACCGGCCTTCATACTGATTATTATTTTGTATTACTCCTTCACACCACTCCTCTATGAGTTGTTTAAGATAGTAGTCATTGGATTTGTACCTACAAAGTTGGCATTTCAAATAACATCTAATAGAAGGTCGAAAATAGAAATCACCATTTTATCCATCATATGCAATAATTTGTATGAATTAATAAACTTGTGTATATATTTTAGTTTAGCAAGCAACATGAACACATATTTACAATGGTTTAACAGGCAACTTGAACAAACAACCACTATTATAAACATACTGGTATATAGTCATGATTCATAAATCAAATGTATGTAGTTAATGTTTGCAGCATAGATTCTTTAACAAAGGAGGTGATGACTGAACATACCATTGAGCTCACAATGGGTAAGGTTTGGCCGCAAGCAAGGGGGAGAGAGAGAGAGAGAGATGTGATCGTCCTACTTAAGATATGGCTGCATTGCAATGTCAAAATTTACCAGGATGGAGAAATCGCTGGCTTCCATGATTTTGTTGCTACATATCTTGTAAAATTTTGAAATTCTACCATCCAATAACACACTTAGCTTGATATTAATAATTCAAAGATGGGGCAAACTTGGGACAGCAGAAATGTGTAGTGCAGAAAATAAAAGGTGTCAAGTAACCTGTTCGTGTTCATGACAAGGCGACCAAATTTAAGCCCATTTTCAATCAATTGCCATAACAAATGTGAACTTGTGCAGACTAGAGTATACTAATCTACAGATGTATAAATTTTATTTCCTGAATAAGTAACCTTCATGCCAACTGGAACACAGATTTCATTTATAGGGAAGATGCTGGCCCAAAGGATTGAGATAGTAACACAGTTGAACATTTGGAAACAATATAAAACAAAACAGAAGGTGAAATGCACAAGTGACAAAAGAAAAAAATGTTGGGATAATCATACATATTTAGAATTTGTGCCAACTTCAAATACACAATTAGCCAACCTAAAAGTTGAACTTGAGAAATTACTGTAATAATTTACTGGAAGTTAAACATACCCTGCTTTACGCATATCCTGATATATCTCCAGGCATTGTTGGACTTCCTGCAGGGAACCATATGTGCTTCGAGCTCTTAAAAGTGTATTGTATGTTACCTGAAATAACAACCTCAAGGAATTAATAGGGGGAAAAAAAAGAAAAAAAAAACTTTATTTCTATCCTTCCAATCAACATTCTTAAGATAATAATAAGAAAACCATAACCAAATTAGACTGAAATTGCTAATATTCCAGTTGTCCTGGAAATGATGAAAATCAATAGATGAGAAGCAGAGCAAGCGCGCTTCTAAAATCATGATAAACATATAATTCAATTTATTTGAAGTATTGAATTATAAGGAAAGTTGATTTGGGGAATTGGAATGCAATGCAATTTAACAAGCCTCAACCCTAATTCCCTGGGGTCAGCTACATAGATCCGTCTTCTGCAGTCAGTTTGCTCTATGTAAAGGCATTCGCAGTTGGAGCAAGGGAATTAGGTCATTCCTTGTGATCTCGACCCATATCCTCTTTGGCCTTCCTGACAGCATCATCAACTAGGATCGAATTAACAATGCTTTAGTTGGTCTAAGTTGCAGGTGGCCAAAGCATCTCAACTTCCTCCAATTTATCTTCAATCGGTAAACGGTGCCATTTCTAACTTCTTACAAATGTATTCATATCGTATTGTATCTTTTCTTGTCACACCACTCGTCCATTAAAACAAAACTAGGAAAGCACATGTTCAAAATTCGTAGCATTACCATATTTGGTTTTATTTGATATCTTTTCATTTCTGCAAACAAGGAGAATGCTGTCTTCAGATCTTTTCTTTCCACACAAACCTGTTAACCATAAGACCAAGATGCATCAATGTAGAGGGCCAAATTAATCTAAGATAACACATTTCATGGGGAATCACATCATGTTCATAGACTATATTTGAACCTTGATGACTGCTGTATATGCAATGACATCAGGTTGAATGCCAGCCTCACGCAAAGAACTCAAAATCTGCACTGAAAGAAAAACAAAAGGTTACTCGAGAACTTATATCACCATATGAACAATCAACCAGTTACATAGCCAATGCCACAAAAAAACAAAAAAAAAATGTCAAATCCTGTTACACTATCATATCCATAAACTCTTCAGCTTACCAGAATGCTAGTTACCTCCTTATAAAAGAAACCACCACCACATTCCTTTTGGCCTTCACCACAAACCTTAACCCATTCAACTAGAGTTGAATTTGTTGCTGGGGACTAGACTACCTCATCTTTTTTCTCATCCAGGTTAATATTTTTTATGTTAAAACCTATCACCTACTTCACCCACTAAACCTAACCCACTACACCACTACCACCTCACCTACTCCACTAAACCTAACCCACTACACCACTACCACCTCCACTTCACCTACTCCACCTACCACCTCCACTTTACCTACTCCATCTACCACCTACTACCACCTACTCTTCTATATATAGGAATCATTGTAGCATTCAATAATTCAACAATTACAAACATCAATCAATAATACAATTCTCTTTTTCTCTTTATACATTAAATTTCTACATTTTATATTATCTATTTAAATATTTATTAATTTATTGTCTTTTTATAGTTTTCTACTATTGTATGAACACCTTGTAGACATTTATAGATTTTTCCTTTCAATATGACAACCATGCGTCGATCATACAATCCTTCACAAAAACTTAACTGTCCTATTAGCAAGGCTTAACCTACTTGCCACCCAATTTGACCAGATTACATTCCATATACGGCATTAGTGAGGTTTATCCCAAACCTTCTAATTCTAAAGCATTCCTCCACATTTTAGGTTCCCTTTACATTCTTCATCTTGTAGAGTAAAGGTCCAAAAGTACAATACAATTTAACTGCACCAAGTGTAAACACATTTAAAATTTTGCAATGATAAAATAACATGCAAAAGGAACTGAAAAGTTGCAAAATATCTTCTCATAAACGTTCACTCTATGGTCACTGCAGAATAGATTTGTTACAGCTTCAATTTTGAAAGGCAATATCACATTTTTCAAATGGTGATGATAGAAAAAATAGCTAAATCATATGTACCTGCACAGCACCTTCAACATTCCCTGAGCCCCCACAGATGTGAACTAGAGTTGACCAGCTTATATAATTTGGAGAGAGACCTACTGCATTCATCTCATCCATTAAAGCTTTTGCACGGTAGTAATCAGTACCACAGGCCTTCATTAAAATATTATACGTTGCAGTTGTAGGTGTAAAGAGAACACGCCTAGGAAAGTTTAAATTATGCGACTTTGCTGTGCGATTCAACATGGTATTGCTGAAATTTCCATAAGCACCTGCATTACTATATTTATTGACATTGTACCCTTCAACAGAAGCCTTATGAAACCCACTTTCCTTCCAGGACCTGAAAAGACGGAAAGCCCTGTCGTACTGGAAAGCCTCAACACAAGCATGAAGAAGCACATTGCAACACTGTGAATTAGGTTGACAACCGGTGAGAAGCATCTCATCAAATAACTGAATTGCCTGCTCTACAAGACCTGCATTTGCACATGCACTGATCAATGATGACCATGTAACTGTATTTGGAGCGACTCCAGCTGATAGCATATCATCTTTGATTTTCAGTGACATTTGCCACAATTTTGCATCTGCAAAGATCTGGAGATTTGATTCGTTAGCTTGAATATACAGAATGAAGAACCTAACTAATTGAATCTAAATTGTACCAAGAAGTAAAACTAGCAGGTTCAAAGGAGCAAAAGGAATGCAAAATAATGACACTGATACTGATGTTCATATAATTAAAGTGAGATTTACCTTTATAATTGTGCTGTACGTGAAGACGTCCAATTTCAACACTCCTGATGATTCCAATCGTTGAACTTCACTATAAATGTTTTGGGCCAAATCAACTCTTGCAGCAATACAGCACGACTTCAAAAGAATATTATAAGATGTCATATCTGCTGCAACACCTAGATTCTGGACATCAAGATAAAATAAAATTTAAAAAAAAAAAAAAAGTTAGCAAAGTTTTCTTGATGATATGAGTGCAGGGAATACCCTGTTTGTATTTAACAAATTTATCATAAAAAAGAAACAGACGAGGATAAAAATTAAATGTGCTCCTAGAAACTCATCCATATGTGAGTCAGCCATGTTTCTCCTCCTTATTTCAATGGAGAAAAGGGATTCATATAGCTGACCCCACTTGATTGGAAGGGCACAAAGCTTAGTTTGGTTGGTTTGGTTTGCTATATATATATGTTTGAACACATCTTTCAGTGTTTGAAGTATATACAAACAAATAAAATATTACAATTTAACACAATTGTCTGAATATGCAAAAATTGGTTTATGTCGGTGTTCTCTTTTTTCTTTTTGTCCAAAATGTGCAAGTTCATCTCAAATGGAAAGTTGAATCTACAAGTGTGTTTTACATTGTGAATCTTTTAAAACTGGGCAATCTATATTGGTGAACAAGTTATTGAGCTTTTGGACTGTGGGTTTGTGTGGGTTACTATTAATGGGCTATAGTTGAGATTGACTAAGGCATAATCATCAGTAATATAAAATGAATCCTGATAAGAAACAGATGGGCTGGGGTTAACACAAAATCAGCCAACCCACCCTTCTGGGCTTCCTCAAGATAACAGAAGGTCAAAGTCTCTTTCACACAATAGTTATTATGTACTTCTGTAAGAATTTATGTAATTTATGTATTATTGATTTATTGATTGATATTGATTCTGTTACAATTGATTGATTATATAGATGTAGGTTAGGTGGTGGTAGGTGAGGAGTAGGTGAGTGTAGTAGGTGAGTGTGTGGTAGGTGATGGTAAGTGTGTGGTAGGTGATGGTAAATTCTAACAGCCCCGCAAACTCAAGGAGGATAGAAACTAACCAATTTCAGTTTGAAGAGAGGAACAAAACAAGAAAATACATAAAAATAAACAAGAAAATACATAAAAATAAAAGAGGATAGGAGACACTGTATGGTATTTAGTGATTCCGCTTCACCGGCGGGCGGCAGCCTCGCCTTCGCCGTCCGCCGGACAAACCCAAATTTTCTAATTCTCTTTCTCCTTCCTCAACAAACTGATTCATCACCCAACCCGTGAATCAACGGTCCAGATTCCCCCACCACCACCAGAATCCGCGACCACCTCCATAATCACGGCTGTGATCACGATCACGACCACGGTCCCGGTCCCGGTCCCGGGAGCGATCGCTGTCATGATCTCTGCTAGATCCTTGGTGACACACCCCAATTCACGAGAACGTCCAGAGCACTTGTCGGCAGCAACCTTTGCCTCTAGAAGATACCCGAGTTGGCCGAGTCAGACAGGGGCACGACTCGGAGGATCTCTTCGCCACGTGTCCCGCCGGCACATCGGATCTCGTTGATCCCGCCGCCGCCGCCGCTGCAGCCTTTTCCGGTGCCGGCTTCTTCTCAATCAAGAGAGAGAGAGAGAGAGAGAGGGTTTTGGTGAAGATGAATAAGTTCTCTATGCTCTTCTTCTTCTTTGTTACCCTCATCCTCATCTCCTCCCCCCAAGCCACTGCTCGATCATCAATCATTCTCAAGCCCCAATCTCTTCCCTCATTCGCTCTCAACATTTCTCAGAGTAGTTCTGTGAGCTGTTCATACACGGTGACTCTACGGACGAGCTGTTCTTCAAGAGACACCTTTTATTTTTTTTATTTTTTTTTTTATTCTTCCAACCCCACTCACACACACAGCCACGGGAGTGACTGACAGCCACACAGACACCTTTTATTTTATTTTATTTATTTATTTTTATTATTCCAACCCCACTCTACTTTCTTTTCTTTTCTTATATATCTATATATATCTATCTTTATTTATTTTCCTATATTGTACAGACCATCATCCTCCTTTTTTTATTATTATTCTTATTATTATTATTATTCTTATTATTCTTTTTCTTTTATTTTATTTTTGCACCGTAAAAAAAAAAAAAAACAAAAAACACAAAAAAAAAACACAAAAAAAAAAAAAAAAAAAAAAAAAAAAAAAAAAAAACCAAAACATTTGTTTTTTTTTTTGCAGGGGGCCTACTCCGGTTTTTACGTATACAAATAGAGAAAAACAATGAGAACAACTATCCTTTGTGTTCCTTTGTCTTCATTTGTGTCACAAGAATTTTGGCAAATCTATATAGACCATAAGCTCCAATTACTATACAATAATAAATCAGATAGTTGCGTTACCGATTTCCTTGTGCATAGAAATTAATGTCAGGAATCCTATATGCTTAATTAGGATTAGTGAAATTCGAAACATAGAAACAAACAAATGTACAAAAACAAAAAAAATACACTGTCACACATGAAAAACACAAAATTTACACGATTTACCAAACTAAAGTTTCATCCATGACTATCGTGATTTTCATCATAATCAAAAATATTACAAGAGATTTTTCGAGATAATCACCTCCCTCAACTATAAATATATAGAGATTAGAGTAACACTTCACAAGTACAGAAATAGTAAAAATACTCTCTCTCCAAATTCAAGTCCAAGTTAATAATTTATCCATAGATTTTTTTCGATCTCACTTTATTTTCTCAAGATTGAGTTCTCCCTATTTGTAAGATATATTGTCCAATCTGACTATATTATCTCGTTATCAAATTGTACAATCAAATGTGAGAAAAATGAGTTTTACGAATAACTAATTCAATTCTCTTTCTTTTATCTGCCAACCAAATATGGCCCATGGGTATAAAGGTAATAATGGTGTGGAGGAGTGAAAAATAAGATTAGAACCCACATGAATAGCTTTTAAAACTAGTGGAAGAAAAAAGGTTTTTGTAAAAAAAAAAAGGAGAGGGGGACCAAAGGATCTTCTAACATGGGGCAAAAGAAAAGGTTCCCCTTTGGAGCTAACACATATCCTATCACAAAGAAGGGGTGGTTCCCTTTGCCAAACCTATCCACTTTTTCTTTGAAAATTAATATATACGTACAAAAAATTTATACAAAATTATGTAGTTTAAAGTAAAACTTCTATTCTAAACAAAACTCATGAAGATCACTTTTATTCACAAAAATAATATTATTATATTATTCTTGTAACATTTTCTGTATGAATAGAATTTTATTTATTTTTTTATTAATAACCACTAATACATTTGGGGTCTTTTGGGAAGTAGACTATAATCCACTTCCCAGATTATAACCTACTTCCCTCTCTCATAAAAAACTGATTATAACCATCTTTCCAAAAGTAATGTGGATAGATAGATAGGATTGATATCAATGTCATCATGTCACCCACATAAGTGGCCAAGAGCTTTATTTTATGAGATGTCAACTGTAATGTTGTGATCTTATGGCTACATTTTTAATGGGCTTGTAGGGTTTGTGACTATTATCATTAGTGGCTCTACCAAAAATTCTGGTAGTTGGGTCTTGTTTGGGAACACAATGTGGATACTATCTTCATGACAGCTTTGTTTGCACGAATCTAGCTTAGCCAACCGCCCCCCACCCCCCCCCCCCCCCCCCCGGTCCATGCACAGAGTAGCCAAGACTAGTTGGGACATGCTTGTGTGTGTGCGTGTGTTGTTGTGAGAGAGAGAGAGAGAGAGAGAGAGAGAGAGAGAGATTACTTTCATATGCTTGTAAAGTTGCAATGTGTAGCTCAAATCACAGGCATTCACATTCATGAGGCTGTTGAAAACATAGATATTTGGGGTGACCTTTTTAGCAAGTAACTCCTACAGCAGAAAGTAATGTAATGGCAGGATAAATATTCAGGAACATCCCAAAACTATGTGATGAAGATCGTAAAGGCATCAGACACTATGTCTAGATTTGCATGTAAAGACATCAAGAATCCAATGTATGCACCAAGATAAAAGGGTAATAATCCTTTATAAACCAATCAGAATGCAAATCATGTAGCCTTCGTCTAGATTTTCCTAAGTGAACAAGATACTAAGGGCTCAATATTGTAATTGTTTTTTATTATTGAAATAAACTAATATATATATAGGTTTTCAAAACATTTTTTATGACGTTTTGTTAGGATGTATGAAAAAGCCAATATCTCAGCATATAAACATATTTGGTTATATAATTACAATAAAAACAAGATTCCATCTGATTTTATTTAGTGGTAATCAATTTTCAATAGATCTTATCCACAGGTTAACCAAATACAGCTTTGAAATTTTAAAATTAATTTAATCATTTTTATTTTTATAAAACCAGCTCCAATAATCTTAACCAAACAACCCTGAAAACAATGTACTTGAGATCGAGACTAACATGTTAACTGTTCACTTGCATACTACATATACAAGATTTCCATCAAACTAAAGACCTCTGCTGCTAATGGTTTAGGAAAGAGCTCACAGTTCCATACTTGTAAATGTTTGAATTATGCACATACAATAACAATGTTTAAATCAAAGAAAATAAAATTTAAACATTATCAATACAGAACAGCACTATCAGTAATCAGAGAACATTAGCACATATGAGAAATAAATAAATAAATAACACTAAACATTGGTTGGCATAGTATAATGTAACAGGACTAAGATTTCATTGTACATAACACCTAGTATATGATCCATGCTAGTCACCATCATTAAAAACTCTGCACTATCATTTTGAACCCAAATTCGCTGAGGAAAAAAGATTCATGAATCAAGCAAATAAAGACTGCAAAACATAGACAAAGCACTGCCCTAGGTCCCTTGTCCACAATTGTACATGCATCAGCATTGTCCACAAGGAACCCCGAAAATTAATATCGCAAACAAAGTTGGTAAATATTTCAAAAGATTATATAAGCTAGTACCTCATAAATGGACCTAGATTTTAGGTAGTCACCACAAAGACCACAAACATCAATTATTGTGCGGTAGGCATACATATTAGGACCAATCGATTTCTGCTTGGAAGCTTCAAATACAGTCAAAGCTGACACCAAATCCCCTTTCTTCCCAAATTCATGAATAATAGTACAAAATAATATATGTGCATGAGGAATAATGCAAGCATACCTGCAAAACATGACAATTAAACATATCAAATATTAGCTAGACCAGTAATTCGAGCAGTTGATTTATGCCTTCCTTGCATATGATTGGAGTATATTTAAACATGTTATAATGACGAAAGGAAATAACCAACATTTTCAATCAAAAGACACTCTCCCTAAATTTCCCCTTTAACAAACATAAAATAAACAAAATTACAAATGGATGAAGAATTACATATAAGAATGCAACAGTGTTTTTGTAGCACCCAACTGAAAAGAAAATCCACAAATTGCATTTGATCAGCATGTTTGAGTTCTCAAAAATATGATGTAGACATAATGCAACCAAAAGTTTAGGCATGGATTGGTGATTCAGTTACTGCACCTCATTATTCTTATGCTTACAGTTCCTCAACACCCGCTATAAGAATTTAACATATTATCAAAATCCACCATGACTTTCTTTTAGCTTTAAAACAAGTAGACTCAGACATACTATGCCTAGAACTACTTACGTGATGTTCAACTAATGTTGCTCAAAACCCAGTCATGCATAAAAATTGTTTCTACTCAAGTATGTAGCCACTGAAACTCAAAAAACCTAATTGGGCATTTACATGAAATCAGGACAAGTAGTTACTTGGAATTCAAAAAAATATGAACAAAAACAACGGTGGAAACCTATAATAATATGAATTATGAAATAGCATACATAAAGACTATTAATCAAAATGTGAATCTTGAGATGTTGACTGAAAAGACAAAGAATAATGAGATTGGGGCATTTAAGGAAATCTAGAGTAGCTTCAATAATTGCTAACATAAGGAAGTGTTAATCATGGAGAGCACTATAGAGAATAAGGAAGCTGGTTTCTGTTGGAAAGCTGTAGAAAAAGATGGCAATCATCAAAAGATAAGAATGACAGAGAATGTAATTGACTAGTGAAAATTTTGAGTTATGATAAACTATTTGATAGACCAAGGTTAAAGGAAAAGATTCACAGCATTCATACAAGTGGCACGGACGAATGTTCTATGCTACCACCTACCAAGTAGTAACCCAGATAATTTGTAGGCTAAATATTTATATTTTGTCCCCAAGTAGCTTCAACAGAACTTGATTCTCCTATATATTATCATTTATATATTTTTGGCAAATCCCTTGCTGTAATATATATATATATACATAAACATAAATACGTATTAAGAAAATAAATTCATTCCTCTAAAGTCATTGAAAAAACTAAAGTGATATCAAGTTAAGTGCATATAGTTGCTGGCTACAAATGCACCGGCATGCAGAACATAAACTGCATTATAACTTATAAGGAAAAGCAAAAATGCCATCAAATTATAATATTATATGGTCATGTAAAATAAAACCGGGAATAGCACCAAAATTAAGGAGGCATCTACAAGACGACCCCATTATAGACAATAAAAAAGACTAATTTTTACCTTATAGCTATATTTGAGTCACGTTTTCTCACACAAAGTCCTACAATCTCAGATGGATCCACCAGTTCTTTGATCGAAAAATGTAAACCTGAACAACAAAACATCTTATCATCCAATACAAAACATCTGTAGAATGCTTTGTGACAATGTTACCAAATTGAAATTTATGACCTTTTCTGTTTTTGTTCATGCAGCACCCAACAATTCTTTTTTTTTTTTTTGTAAAAGATGCATGATTATGTGTGTAAGAGCCAGGCCAATGGAATCAATAGAATCACAGGAAGGTAGTCACCCTTATATGTAAGAACTAGTATATAACCAGGGATGGACCCATAAAGTGAATGTATATTAATAAAAATTTTAAATGAAAGTATGGACTACAACATCAATTTTTACCAATATAAGAAGTGAAAAATAAATTGAAATGTGTATAAATAAGCATATTTTCTTGTATACACGTTGAGTTACAAAGTATAAAAACTGTAAGACAATCTATCTAAAGTGAGGTATATGAGTTGTGTTCAATACTCTTTCAGCCCATTAAAAGGATCTTTGATAGAATCAACATTAAAACCTCAATAATATCTTTCTTAATGAATGTAATCAAGTAACTTGCCACCTTCTTCTCTTCTCTACAAACTCACAAAAATCAAATGTCAAAATAATTTTTTCACTAGTAAAAAAACAACTTCTTTTAGTTATTTTATTTTATTTTTTTTGTAAAATAACTTTTTAGAAATTTCCCAAACACATAACTCTCTTAGCTCCTCAAGGGAAGGGAAGAAAAAAAAAAAAAAAAAAGAAGGAAGGAAACCAAACACCAAGCCTAAGGCTTAAAATCGACACTAATTATAATTTTTTTTTAAAAAAAAAAAAATTTGTTATATTCCGTCTAAATGTTTAAATTTTATGATTTGACCCAAGATTTCACCCCCTCTACCAATCACAGGCCCAACCAAGCTCCTGGACCCCAACATATATAGTAGTCAGACAAAATACTAAATTAAAAAGTCCAGCACACACTTCTCTTTAAAACCGAGATATCAAGGAGAGGAAAACTAACATTAAAACTAGCATAGAAGGGACAGGCGATGTGGGACATATTCCAAAAAGTATAACCTAAATTGGCCACTAGTCATTTTGTTCCCTCTAACTTCAACTACTAAAGGCAACAAATTACAAAATGCAATCAGATTATCAGACAACCACATTCCCAAATCAAATCAACCTCAACAACACAACAGTGACTCACCTGCAAGTATTTCCATCAATTTGACTGCTTCCTCCACCTCTCCCCGCTTCACAATCCGGCGACACTCTTCCGCAATCGCCTCCATCGCAGCCCCATCAAACAGCCGCAACACATCAATCCCTAGCTTCTCAACACAAATCAGAACCTCAACAACTCTCCAAACCTTCCCCTCGCTAATCACTCGCACTATCCCAGCCGAAAAAAGCTCGATGCTCAACAAACTCAAGAAATCCGCACTCTCGATTCCGGACACCACAACGCTCTCCGTAATCATCAGGAAGTCGTGGAACCTGGCGTCTTCGGCGAGATTGGAAGCGAGGTCGGCGTAGTACTTGAGGTGGTTGCGGCGGCGGGAGGGGGCGGAGTCCCATCGGACGGTGGAGAAAAGGGGAGGACGAGTGGGCGGAGATGAAGTGGACGGTGATTGGAGTGGTGGTGGAGGTTTGGAAGGAGAGAGTTTGGTGGTGGTGGAGGGTTTGAGTTTGGAGAAGTGATTGTTGTTGTGGTGATTTGGAGGGAGGACAATGGAGGAGCCAAGGATAATTAGAAAGTCCCTCATTGTTGCTGCTGCTGGCCAACCAACCGTTTTCTGTTGCGGTTGGGGAGGTTTTGGGAATGGGGTTCGAGCCGGCTTTTATAATTGGAGAAACGAGAGAGGATTGAATTTGAAAGGCAGTTGCTTCGCTGCGGAGTTGCGGACCCCTTTTGGCATGTCAATTCTTGATTTTAAATTTATTTATTTTATTAATATATCTTAATATTTTACTCCAATTTTGATAACTCTAACAATAAGAATAATGTTATAAGTATCAATTAAAGGACTAACTAATAACTAGTATACTAATAGATGATATGATATAATTTTAAAAATTTTGATTATTTATAATTTGTATAATAAGTGGGGTCAGTAATAATGACATAACACTAGTTGATATACTAATATTGTGCGGGAAGCAAATATTCCACGGAGCCCGTACTCCTTTCGTCCAAACTCTCTGTCTATCCGATCGACCTGCAAACACAACAGCGGTGAGTTACCCGGCGGTGTATGGCCAGAAAACCCCTCCGACGGTCAAGTTAGCACATACACTCAAGGAGAGAAAGAGGAAGAGAGAGATATATCACAATGAGTGTTTCCCACCAAAATGATGTTCCATGCCAGCATAGGGGGCGCAGTCATACTTATATACTTTCTGCGCTCAAATCTGCTCCCATTAGCCTCTTGACACGTAGAGATGTTCTCCCATCTGCCAGCACAAATCCCACAATCACCACCTAACCAAACCGATAGGCTACATTAGTAGGAGTTCGGCAGCCCGGCGGCATCACCTCGGTTTCACACAACCGTGTTGGATAACGAGTCAGAGTACTCCACTCGTCGAGCTCCATTACGACCGTGCTCGGTTGCATTCCGGTATAACCGAGCTCAAGACAGGTCGAGCTGGTAAACCAAAGCCCTTTTTGCCGAGCTAAATGCGCGAACCGTAGAATCCCGAATGGCAGGGATCATCTTGGCCGAGTAGCTCAAGTAACTCAGTCCTCACATGGACAAGCCCAAGTAGCTCGGTCCCAACATGGCCCTGGGCCTCAACCGAGTAGAACCATCTCCGGACAGGTCCAAGCTATCACGGCCCAAACACGCTCGGTCCTCAATTTGCCCGGCCTTTACCATGGCCCATTCCAGCTCGTAAATCTCCCTCTCAAGTATATACATTAATTGGTGCATGTAACACCACCGTAACTCTAATCTATCTATTTGTATATTTTATCTGACTCAATTAATACTTTCTCGACCACAAGGGGGTGGTGCCCTAGTGGAAAAGACATTTCTCTCCACAAGCATGACTCAGGTTCGAATCTTGGGAGAGTGAAATGCTGGGTAATTTTAGTGGTTCTCTGTAGAGATCTCGCTCTATACTCCGATCGAACCATAGGCTCGTCTAGTGGGTCCCTTTCTATGTGGGTCATTTCCTATGGATTGGGTTAAATCAAGTCTGTACTACAATTAAACTCTAGGCTTGTTTGGTGGGTCCCTTCTTATGAATTAGATTAAATCAGGCTCTAGGCTTGTTTGGTGGGTCCCTTCCTATGAATTAGATTAAATTAGGTCAGCAATCGGTTACCTTGGGTTTGAACCCTAGGCGAGGTCTGGGCCCACGAATACAGGCTCTATATTCTGATCGAACCCTAACCTCATATGGTGGGTCCCTTCCTAGGGGTTGGGTTAAATTAGGCAGGTACTCCGATCAAATCCTAAGCTCGTCTGGTGTTGGTCCCTTCTTATGGGTTGGTGTTGGTTCCTTTCTTATGAGTTGGGTTAAATTAGATCGGTAACCCACGAATACAGGCTCTATACTCCGATCAAACCCTAACCTCGTATGGTGGGTCCCTTCCTATGGGTTGGGTTAAATTAGGCAGGTACTCCGATCAAATCCTAAGCTCGTCTGGTGTTGGTCCCTTCTTATGGGTTGGTGTTGGTCCCTTCTTATGGTTTGGATTAAATTAGGCCGGTAACTGATTACCCTAGGATTCAGGGGTCTGGGCCCATGAATGCAGTAATGACACTACAAGCCATCCTTTTTTTCTGTTTAAAAAAAAAAATTATACTTTCTTAAATCTTTTTTAATTAAAATTGAATTTGAACAAATATAATCGTATTGGTACTTTTGCATCCCTATTTGTGATTCAATGATGTTAAGGCCTAACAAAACGACAAATAAATTAAAATATAGTAATAATAATAAGATGAGTGAAAAACATCTTGGTATTTGTTTCATTTCAATGATTTAAATTATTTATTTTGTAAAAATTTTTATAAAAAAAAAATCTGATAATTATAACTTATTTATTTTATCACATTTTTTACAAAAATAAAATATAGATGATTTTTTTTTGGTTAGAGAAAGGCAATAAATTGGAAGAGTTATGATTATTGTATTAATCTAATTTTTTTTTTTTTTATAAATGATATGCACAATGGACTTTACAAAATGAACAATTTAAATTGTCAAAATAAATAGCATTTTCCAATGCAGATCTTAAACTATGACCGGAAGAGAAGTTTAATTATTCAAAAGTTAGAGAGATATTTTTGACTTTCATTTTTAAATTATCAACTATACCAAACATGCAAATAGGTGATGAGCCCCGTTATTGTTTGGTTTTGAATGATTTGAACCCGAGAAGTCCTGCCAGGCTGCCCAGATATGTTTCGATGTAACATAAAAAATTATTAGTGAAAAATGGGAAAAAAGAATTAAGTTGGTGTAAAATGAAATGAATTAATCATTTATCAACGAAAAAGAAAAATGAAAATGAATTCATTCTTGCAGGCTAGAATTGCGTTTCTTGTGTGACATTTTTTTTATAGTTTTTGGGAGCAATAATAATTTTTAAAAATAAAAAAATATTTTCTAGTGTTTATTTTTGTCAAACTAGCTTCTATTTTTAAAAAAAATTGATTCTAAAACAGAAACCAAACATATTTTTGTGCTATCCAATGACTACAATTGGCACTTCAAACCCATTCACTCCTACTCACTATATGAGATTAAGGTGTTATTTGGTGCAATTTATAATGCTATTTATAGATTCTTCACTTTTTTTTTAAAGAGTTTATGCTAGAGTATTTGGTGCAGTTTTTGCTTATAACTTATGGGGTAAAAATAACTTACATAAATTTTAAAAAGCTGATTATTTGAAAATTTATAACTTATCAACTTACAGCTTTATCCAAGCTGATCAAACAAGACTTCACCACAAAGCCAAAAATAAATAAATAAATTTGGTGTGATTACGGGTGTATAAATTTCCATAAGATAAACCCAAAACAGAATAATCTTCTAGCTTCATCCCTTTCCAAGAACCAAATCAACAGATGTAGCATTTGACATGCAAAAAAACCAGAATGCAAATGCAAAAATCGAATCCCCGGAGTTTGACAGCCTAGCAGTGCATGAGCCTAACAGTTTGCATGAGTAAGAGGGAGGGAGAGGGAGAGAGAGAATATTCCAGTTCTTATGGAAAATAAAGCCTATTATACACGCGAGATGAAACCCTGGGTTGTCATGAAGGTCTCTCAGAGACTTATTCTATGTTCTTGAGAACCTCCCTCAAATCTCATGCCTCCTAGAATTATTTCAAGTTGTAGAATCATCATCTGACTCTGCTGTAATAAACCCTTCGACATCTTTCCAACCAAATAAATAGAAGGATAGTTGACAAAAAGCAACAATAACTTGGACCATTAGTTCTTTCAATATAAGAGAATTGGCTAGATTCCATTCTGTGTTGAAATTTCCTGGTAACAATCTGCTGGCAATTAGAAAAATGCCGAGGCCCGGAAATGCTATATATTTACACGAAGACTACTAAAACTAGGGATACATCATACATGCAAGTAATATTATGCGGACAGTTGAAGGCACACTTCATCTGATACCTCATGAGCAACATGCTTGCACGATTTCTTCAATATCTGGATCATCCCCTGCTTCTTTGTCCTACAATACAATCAACAATATCACACTGATAATTTCTTGTCTATAGGAACTAAGAAAAAAGGTATAGACTTGCTTGAGTGAGTGCTTTGGCAAACAAAGATATGTTTTAATAGTGTATTGCTATATTGCAGTTGGAGCTTATAAGTGGCATACCCATATCAATTTATCATTAAAGAGGCTAAAACATTTCAAAGAGAAAACAGAGCAGGGAACTAACCTTGTGGACGAATGAGATGTTACTTTTCCCTGGACCGGCAACAATGATTCCACCTTGTTGCCTGAGAAAATAATCAGCAGAGTGTCAGGTGTCTGTTGAAGCAATGTTGATAACCAAAAAAAAAAAAAAAAAACAAAGATAATACTTACATTACTAATATCCAAACAAAAGAACGTGAGATTATTGAGCATTTTTTATTTTGCATCCATGCATCATTTAGTTCAGCAATGAGTGATAAGGGATATGTAAGGCAAAGATACAAAATACAAGAAGCTGTGCATAGCTGATTCAATACTTACAGATACAGTAAAGAATCTAGCTACCCTTGCATAAATGTATGGCCAACCAACTGCATAAGCTGTCTACTCAAATTCAATTGCATAGGTAGTATGACTGCTTGTTTGCTTCAGTCATTGAGAGACCATGATTGGTTAAGATCATGCTCATTGTTTAAGCACTAGGGAAAAAAAGAAAATAAAAAAAAAAATTGCAAGCTTAATCAGTAGACATCTTCTTATGGAAAATTCAATTGGGTTTGGGATCTGCAAAACAAATTGGCCTTCTCATGGGTAACCATGATATTACCATCATTTATAGTTGGCTTTTTATAGGCAGTATTATAAGAGACGTGTAACAAAGAAAGAATCTCATTCTAGAAATTTTGTGGGATATATGGTGTGGACAGTTGGAGGTGATTAAGCCGATACATAGCCTTCTGGGAAGATGGTAGACACATTGAGCTTGCACGAGACCAACAGAGGTGGGGGAGGTGAGAGTGGATGTAGTCTTTGAAGGAGAGAAAATAGCTTTAGAGAGCTCCTAAGTTTGTTGGATGCGGTGCTGCATGCATGGAGGTGGTCTACTTTCCCAGAGGGTCAAACCATGGGAGGCAACTCATCCATACTCAAGGACATGTGACTATCCCCTTGGTTTGACAATCCAGAAGTTTCTCAATTACTACTAACCACACCCATGACAAGACCTCGGGGTCATATCATGGGGTGGCAATAGGCAGGTATGTTACATCAAAGACTATCAGGGAGTTGCAGTGGGTGCAATAGGTGGTGGGTATGTTTGGCAGTGCGGAGCCAGACTTCTCTGAATCCATACCAAGCATGTCTTCCAGTGGAGGCCTCTCTCTTTTTAAGATTAGTCACCTTGATAAAATCTGGACTCTAGCCTCCAATCCACAAGTTCTCAAGGGATCCCTAGCAAGGGTCATGGGGTTGCTCAGGCTCCTCATGAATCATGACCGAAGCACCAACCTTAAAGGGTTCCTAGGTTCTGTTTTTAATCTAGGTTGGGTGTCCTTTGGTGGAGTATACATCTTAGATGTGTACGTGGTTGTAGAGCTACTTGACCTAGTCAATGGGTTCGAGCATGACCATGGAGAAGAGGCCATGCTGTGCAGGAGAGTGAGCATGCCCAACACATGGAGATTGATACTGTTAGAATAGGAAATAATATTTTGATATATTTTATTCTTTCTATATTTATTTTTCCCTTTATGGATGTAATGGGTTGGCCTATAATTTATGCCTTATGGCACTCTTGTAATTACTCAGTATTAACAATATAAAAGGGGATGAAGTCTAACCTATTCCCTATCACTTTCTCTTCTCTAAATCTTTATAGTGATCCCGGTATTCCCTGTTACTGTTTAACTGTAATCCGGACTCGGTTCCGTAGATTTGTTGTTGTTTTATCCTCATTTCTATCCCTTACTCTTTGTGTTAGAGTTTTGTGTTGTGTTGGGCAAGTTGGAAATAAGTTGACTGTGTTTTAAAACTTAGAATTTTTGCCCAGGTTTTGGTCTCTACGCTCGAGCGGCGATTTGACGCTCGAGTGGGTTTTTGTTGTTGCCTTTCCGCTCGAGCGGCAGTTGGGACGCTCGAGCGTGAATTTCCTTCTCTCAGCATTTTGGACGTCTGCAGAAAATTCTGAGAGAGTGCATCCGGCGCTCGAGCGGATCTTTGGACGCTCGAGCGTGAACCTGTGTCTGACGCTCGAGCGGGGTGTTGTACGCTCGAGCGGACCTGTTTTTATATCAGTCCGTGAAATCACTTTTTGTTCACTTTTTGATTTCCTTTCTCTCTCTTACTTTTTCAAAACCTCCATTGGAGAGCACCTCACTCTAAAACCTAACTTCTCTCTTAGGATTGATCTAGTTAGAGTGTTTTCCTACCCTTTGGACTTTGTAAAAGTTGTGTTGATCGTCGAGGACTTCGTTTTGATCCGAGAAATTTGGGATTTGGAGCACTTCCGAGTTTTGCTCTTCTTTTCCTTGAGTTCTACATTTGAGGTATGGATTTCCTTGTTCTTTTTCAATACTTCGTCTATAGATAGACATGTGGTAGTTTCGTATTGCATGAAAACCATATCTATGTTGGGTTTGTTTGAAAATCATGAGGAAACCTAGAGTTGGTTGATTAAAAATGGGTTTATTGTCTTTGGTTATTCATTGGACTAATTGTGGCGTAAAATAGCTTGTTGTTGTTGAAATATAGAAAAGCCCAAATTTATATGTGTTATGATAAATTAAAAGAGGGATTTTGTTCTTTGGGTAAATACTTGTGTATTTTGGGCCTCAAATGAGGTCTTTTTTGTTTATTGTTGAAGATTGAACCTTTTTGGTCAATGTTGAGGAAGAGGAAGAAAAACCCTAACTTAATAATTAGGACTTAATTTGCATAATTAATTTGGAAGATTATGAAAGGAATGGAATCGATTTTGGGAAAATGAGAAAAGTGGTTTTGGAATAAGTGGTGGAACATGTTGATTTGGAAAATTATGAAAGTTGATTTTGAAAGTGAAGAATGAAACTTTAACTCTATTTGAGTCATAGAAAATAAATATGGGAATTGGATTGTTGTATTATGCAAGTCGTGTGCACCTATTTGGGGGAAATAATTTGTAGCCACCATGCTTGGGTTGTTGATGGGTTTGGGATCTCATGATAATTGAGTTTGTTAATAGATGTATGATATACATGCATCTAGAGGTTTTGTCCTTGGTCATCGGTGGAGGATGACGTGGTTGTGTTGAATTGTCATGTGTGCATTATACTATTATTGATTGAACATCATATGTGATGAAGTGCTGAAATAAATTATATATATGTATGCTTGCTCGGGAGGAGGTAGTTATGTGTTCATATGCTTTACCACATAGCTTGTGTCTTGATGGTTTGTGTATATGTGTTATACATGTTGGTTATGCCCTGTTGCATTTCGATTGGTGGTGTTATACCTTGCGCTAAGAATCAGAGGTACCGTGACCTTCCAGCTAGCGCCTGGAGAACTGACTGCACTGAGAATATAAGGTACCATACCCTTCCAGCTAGCGCCTGGTAAACTGGCATGTTGTTGTGAGAGGTGTATCTTTGGCTTACTATACGCATAGCTAGTAGAGCAAAGTTTGTTGTTGATATTTCAGTGTGTTTGGGAATATCATGGATTGTGTTGATTATGGTTTTGGAGGGGCGAGTTGCCTCATTGGTTTATCTTATGCATGTCGGTGAGTTGTTATCTCTTTTTATAACAGTGCATGTATAGAGTTGATTGTATCGAGAAAAAGCCAAAATGTCATATTTGTCTTTTGGAAAGTGTGAAAGAGAACGGACTTTTTAAAGAAACATATATTTTGAAAAGACATATCTGTATATGTTTGGAAAATGGAAGAGTGTAGTGGGCTTAGCGAAATTATTTCCTAAGGTATTATTAATGTTATGAAAGATTGGGAACGGGGATTAATGAAAAGAAAATGAAAGATGAATCGCCTATGGCGTTGATTGAAATGGTTGTTTTCAAGAAAAGTTCATACATATATATTTTGTATAAATTGTCACATTACTATTATAGTATGAGAATGGGTGTTCATGATCATAGCTATCTGTATGTTGTTATTGTTGAGGGCCATGTTGAGTTCCCTACTGGACTATATGTTCATCCCACGTTGTTGAATCTTTTTCAGGTGTTGAGCAGAATGTGCTGCAAGAATTCGGTCTTCTGATTTGTTGGCCACGGGGCCTCTCTTATGTGGGCGGAATGCCATTGTTGTAAAAGGGTTACACCCTTCTTCTTGTACCTTATGTGATGTAAGCCCAAGGGCAATTTATTAAGTATGTTCATGTATTATTTAATTTGCATACGAATGAGAGTATTGTTAATCACTTCTACAGATTGAATGTATGAGTTTATTTCCGCATGTTATCCTTGAAATTGAATTAAGTTAATAAATTTGGTAATGACTTCGAGTAATAAAAAGTGGGGCGTGACAATCTTCATGGTATCAGAACCACACAGGCCCTAGCCATCCTATTCCAGCCTCTCTTTTCTTCGGCAGCCCCTGAGCCATCGAAACCCAGCCCCCAGCCACCAAAACCCTTCACCCAGCCTCTCTTACTCACCCAGGTCTCTCAAAACCCTCTACCTAGGCCTCGACAGCCCCCCTCTCACCTTCTAGGGGTCTGTCGAGAGCCCTCCCTAGCTCTGTAGGCTATGTTGCAGGGTCCTCTTGGCTCCAGAGCCCCTGTCGGCACCCCTCCAGGGCTCTTCCCCTTCAACGGCAATCCCTCTGGCTGTCTAGACCTTCCACGACAGTCCCCTAGCCTTTTGTGTCGGTTGGCCCGTCTCTAGGTCTCTCATTTTTATGTCTTAAACTCTCTGTTTGATGTTTTAACCTAAATTTTTTTTTAAAAAAATTTGCAAAAACAAACAAAAAAAAATGCAGTGAAAAAAAAAATCATGAGTTCTTAATTTCTTTATGCTTTCCCAGTGGTAGTTGTGTCTTTCCTTCCACTTTTATCTTCCAAGTTTGTGATTAGCCTTGTTTTTGAGAGTTAAATAGTAAAGTATCCATGGCAGATTCCCTTGTTGAATCCACTACTTCTCAGCCACTTCAAAGCGAGAGTTCCATTATACCTCTTACTATGACTGATAACTTCAACCTTGGCCTCAAGATCGCCACCTCTCTATTCAATGGTCAGAACTATCTAGCGTGGTCTCAAAATTTGACTATTTTTTTGAAGAGCAGAGGGAAGATGGGGTATGTTCATGGCAG